GTGGGAGGGTGGGGTGTTATTTTTTTCTTTTTCTAATGAGAGGCATAAGAGGTGCCCGGAGCAATGAAAGAAGAGAACCAATACCAAACATGCTAAGTCTTCCTCAGTTTATTTCCCCAGGTGGTTACTGTTTTGGCACCAGCCAGCTCCTGGGCAGTGAAATGCTGTGAGAACAACAGCCTGAACCAATGGGGTTTTCTTCAGGGATCTTCTTGTAAACACAAAACAGAGAAAACAGGAAAACAAATTGCTCCAAACCCAGGAACAAATTGCACTTACCCAAGAAAGAATTGCTTTTTGTTCTCTGTTTCAAAAATCCATGGTATTCACAGGGACTGATAGGAAAAAATCATCTTTCGTGTTAAGTACAGTTGCTGAGGTGCGAGTACAGACTTTTCTGTCATCTAGCTAAAAAAAACCTATGTGAAAATGGCTTCCCCACTAAGAGTAGATTCAGCGGGCAATTTGTTTGTGCTAGTTACCTGCTTTAGAGAAACAGTTGCCTACAATTCAGAATTCAGGGTTTCTCTTTCCCAAAACATACTGGGACACTAAGTGGGGTGATTGCTCTCAACCTTTGTGCAAACAATTGGGCATAGTTTAGAAGTAGATAATTTTTCTAGGTTGCCCTCGGACATGCAGACCTAAGGATCAGTAATTTAGATTTGCCTTGAGAAAAGTAGGACCCTGAGACAAAGACTGGGAAGCTCAAAGGATCACTTTAAGCGCTGGAATTTGAAAAAAACTATCTGTAGTCTATTAAAAATAGCATCTGTATTCTATTATTATCCATTCATCTTTTTTTTTTCCCATGCATTCCACATCTTTTTTTTTTTTTTAGAGAGACTTACTATAAAACAAGAAGGGCTAAATATTAAGGACTTAGGAGAAGAAAATACACACAACAGTCTTTGTCATTGAAAGTCACTTTACTGATGTTACAATATGTTGTTAGTAACATTGAAAACCACAGGCATTTGTGTTAAATACTCTCAGAGAAGTGGATACTGTGATGCTGTTATTAAAAGTGAGCAGGAATTTTGAACCCCCAAATTACAATGATTTGGTTTTATCAAAAGCAACGTTTTGTTCAGCTGCATGAAAGCCAGATTCATTCACTTCAACAGCCCAATGCCTGTAATGGATATGACAAAAATATCACACTCAAAGCTAGAAGTTGTAAATTGCAATGCTTCATTTTGGTGTTTGTCAAAATCTTCTGTTTCTACTGCATCAGGTATGATCCTCAAAGGATTTTAACTCGCAAAGACAACAATATGGTGTAGACTGGTTGTGTTTGCTACTACTAGCCCAGCCCAAGTGGTGAAACATGATTCTCCTTGCCTCTCTTAATGTTTTACCAATAAGGGCTAGTACGAGTGAAAAAATAGATAGCTTTTTTTTTTTTCTTTTTCTTTACAGCAATGCCCAAGATAAACATTAGGACAAAATGAAGCTGGCAGAGCCAATTGGTATATATACCACCCCAAAAGCTTTGCTGAAAGAACTGGTCATACTGTAAATAGCATTTTCTCTAGTGGATTAAAAATTATGTAATGCTTTGCTGTTCTGAAAAAAATATTTTGCATTTATGCAACAATAAAAATAAGTACTGTATTCTATATAAAACACTACCTATTGTAATATATCTTTACCCTTAAGAAAAGAAAAATCAGGTTATAAGTTCACAGTTTGAGTATGTTCTGGACTGTATTTCCAAGCATAAAATATGCAGAGTCTCTACACAGGCAGTGAGCAGGAGTCCTTGTACCAATAATCAAAATAAATCAGCATTTACTGTTATACAGAGCCTTACAATATTGCATGAGCAGCTGCTAGCACCACTATACTTACAAGGTCAGTCAGGCCTATATACAGAATTTCTAACGTGGTTGTAAAAATAGACTCTCCATGCTAAAGTTAGAATATATAAGGTCTTAAGGCCTCATGTTAAGATTTTTTTTTTTAACCAAAACTTTATTTTTTTTATTCAGAGGAACACAGAAACAGAAAAAAAAATTAGCTTGTTGTGTTGACATTTTATGCTCTAGTAATTAAAAATAGTGTAAGAAAGACACCTATACTTCTCCCTTAGAGAACGTGTTTCTTTTTAACTGCTCTGCGCTTATTTTCCCCAACCTTCCTCAGCTCATTCAGAGTTCTATTGCAATCACTGTCTGTCTACGTAGCAGAAGTTTTTCAGCAGTTTAAAGCTGGCTTAGCTAAAGCGATTTTTTTTAAACTGGTGTAAATTGGATTTTAGAGCACTAAACCCACCAGGCCTGGTGAGGTAGGCCCATTTTGAAGCCAGGTACAAAGTTTCTTAAGCGTGAGCGACCAACCACATTTCTGTCTGAACTTAACTCTTACTCCCTGCTTTGGTTACTTGGCTGAGATAAGGAATTACTGTTGACTGTTGTAGTGCTTCTCCAAATAGTTGCAGAAAACTTGCCGAGTGACAAGATGGGTGTACAAGCTCCTGGTTGCAAAGCTTTAGTTTACATCAGCATCCATACTCGAGGCACCAGAAATGTTTTTTGTAAGCTGACTTGGAAAATACTTGGGTCAAAGGAGGGTTGTTTTTTTTTTTTTAATGTAGGTGATAGGGAATATTACTTAAGTGGGATTTCAATGGGAAATTAAGAGTTCTATCTGCATTGCAACCATGTCTACACCCTCAGTTTCACTGTCCCCTTTTTTTCCTGCCCTATCAGGATCATCATGAGGTGCACACAGGAACATTACCCCATCATGCAGTCGTGGGCTGACAAGCTGCACACATGTGTGCAGGTCACTCTTATTTGTCTTCAGGAAATCTGATCAAAATCAAATCCCAGATTGCTGATGTCTCATATGGTTTGGAAGCCATGCAAATAGTGGGTCATCGGCTCAGCAGGCTGATGGACAATCCATTTTAGAGAAACAACTGGCTTCAGAGGAGACCAGAATGCTCAAGCTCCTTAAAAATGAGGTAAATAATAACCTCACGCTGTGGTTGGTAACAGTGGCTCAAACAGTCTGCTAATGATACAGGTACTTAAGTAACTTAGAGAAAGACATGGATGATCTTCAGACTTGGAGCAAGAGAAATAGGACACAGCACAAATTCTAGGTTCACAGACTCAGTGATTAAAGAGGCTTAGGCTTAAACAGTGCTCGAGGGTGAAAGACACAGGATGGCTGAGCTGTCAAATGTTTTCACCAGTGCAAACTGCACAGGAGACATAAGGCTCCATCACCTATGCTGTAGCAAGAGCAAAAGATGTATTAACAGCACTGGAAAAACCTTATCCAGGACGACAACACAGCTTTTCACTCTTAGCCAACCAACACAAGAGGCTGTTAGTGGATGCAGTCATCATTCCTGGAAATGCTTTTCAGTAGGAGCAGAAAGGGGATGGAAGAGAACAGGAGCTTGCTGAGTTTTACAATGCAGTTTGGCAAGTTTGCTTACAACAGCTAGGAATGGGATTTGATGACAGGGCACGTCCCAAGAGCTAACCTGTTATCCCATAGGATTACAGTGTCTCATCATTGTTTCACATTACATCCTGTCATTAAGCAATGAAACAACTGCAAATTTGGCCAGAATTCATAGTATATGCATGCGTGTAATAGTGTAGGTACCTGTTCTTAGCCCTGGTTTTGAGAACAGTTGTCACATTGGTGTTGACAAGACCACTCGGTTCATTTAAAACCAGCAACGGGGAATCAGGTAAGAGGACTTCAGTACACTAGCTATCGACACAATTTCTTTCTGATTTTAATTCAGACTATAACCCAAAGGTCCATTTGTTCAGTAGCACAATCCAAACTATCTAATGAGCACATCAGCTTAGTAGGTTCAACAGCTCGTCAATCAGGAACAAAACTCACAAGTCATTGGGAAGTAGCTATCTTCAAAGTCAAATCACACTTCAAATCAGATAGCTGGCAAGTAGTCACTTAAGTTCTTTAAAACTACTTATCTAAATATAACAAAATTATATGTAAATTATCAATCAATCATCTCAACCGTTTCTGGTAAACTGCCTGAGTATATTCACCAGAAGTCTATACTATGGATTACTGAAGTTCTTCTATCAATCAATTCAGAATTAGCAGGTAGATTTGTACTTGTTAAACCGTGGAACCATTGTGCAGCAGTATTATTTGGATACAATCTCTATTTTCCAGTCTCCATCAGTTAGTCATATTAATTTTATTTTAAATTATACAAGAGTCTTCTCCCACATGTTGAAATACATAACCCTCATTCCTGCAGGTCCCATGCTTATATGGACAATTACTTGTAATGTATTGAGAAGAGCTTACAACCTTCCCACTTCAACAGGCATCTACAGCATAGCTAGCAATAACTAGTTCGTTTATTAAAATAAAATTAAAAACAAACCAAAAGCATGAGTCTCAATGAGTCAAAATGGCTGAGCTATCCTATTGACAACACAAGTACTCTATTTTAGACTGGATGAGGTATTATACGGCAATTTATATTGCTATTGCCAGTGTAACTCACTACAGTGAATAAAAATATTTGTTACTCTGGCAGCTTTCCCACACACTAAATTTTAGAAGTAGGAAACCACAGAACGTAAGCAAAGAGCTTCTCTCTTTGACCTCCACTGGCTTTGGAGGCTCACACAGCCCTACTAGTTCAGGTTTTGTGCCAGTGACCAACCTAACGCAAAATCCTCTGCAGAAGAATTCTGCAAAAACCCAAGTCCTGTGATGTTCTCACTCTAGACCATCAAAGAGAAAGTCAGTATTTATTTAACTTGAACTTAGTGCTCGTAACTAGACTTCCAGTCACTACATACCTCCAAATGCGAAAGTGACCGTTAAAAGTTACACTACACACGTATCGTCATATGCTACAAATGAATTATACCAAAACAAGAGAGAAGTTGAAAGTACATACAACACTGAAAATACAGTCAGGAGAGCCATTCGTCTGCGAAACAAGAAGCTACGAACATTACACAAAGAGCCAGTACGTTCTATCCAGTTCAGGCTGCCAAATCTTGCTGCTTCTTGGTAAGGCAAAATGGAAAGGGAAGAGTAAACAGTGGTAAACATAAAATATGCACAGAAATCTAACAGGGTTATTCAAGATTACATGCCAGTTTGTACCCAAACAAAATACCAGAAAAGGCACATGATGAGCAGTCCAGTTACTAGAGACAAGATACTAATATGTGGGGGAAAAACAGCTTCCCGGCGACAGAGGAACTCAGAGGCTATTGGGTTAGCATAATGTCCTAATGTGGGTGAACTCCTTGAGAGTCCTGCTCAATGTCCAGCAAAAGCAATAAAAGACATATTGATATCAAGCAATTATGGCTCAGGCCCTCATTTCACGAGCTATATGCTACCAACTATCTTTAATCCAGTCACCTACACTCAAATCTTTGCAAAAAATATTCTTCGGTGCTGACAGATATTTACACTTCACAAAAGTGCAGGAATCTCTTCCTAAAGCAACTACAAAAGACTGGCTCCTTCCAGATGGCCTGTCTGCATCCACTTGTACTCACTCGTATTTGTCTTTCTCCAAAATACTTACCAGAACCTGTCGACTGTGAAGGAAAATCATTTGCACTCCAAGGCCAATATTTTGTCATAATCCAACACACAGCCTAATCATAAAATATAGCGTTTCTAAAAATCTTACATACTTTACAGTTGCTGACATCTTTAAACATTTCTTAATTTAATCTTACATATATTTGACTTTATCGAGAGACTTAAAAAAATATATTAAAAGGCTGCAAATGTTGGGTTCACTTATTAAAGGAAATACACGAAAGAGGTAGAAGATTCAGAAACACCGTAGATGTTCCCATCACAAGAGTATCTAATTGATCATACAGCTGTTGGGCAAGGTCTTCAACTGCACCACACGGAAACAGGTGTTTTATTCGGCAATGGTACTACCTGAAGCTAAGAATTAGTCAATTTTGGAAAGCTGGAGAATTATAAATTGATTTAATAAGGTCCGGTTTCTTAATGACTGAAAATTCCCAATCAAAAGACATTTGTGATACAACAACCTTTAGAAGTCTCAGGTGTTAGAAATCTAACCATCCACTTATACACGAGATTAATATCTCCATGGTAAAGGGATTGTTCCTCCCACCCCATTTTTTTAGGCTAAACTCACTTGTACTCAGTTTAAGGCCCCCCCAAATTGTCAAGGGGGCTTCAAGGGCAGCAAGCATAGCATTCAAGCGCATGGTAAAGGCGATTCCAGTAACAAATAAAAACTAAAAGGCAGCAATGAAACTGGCTGCTTGCCCAGCACTGTTATTACCTAGTGCAGCGAAATCGTTACGCTTCTCGTACGCTGCGCCTTGCCATCTGAAGCAGGGCCTGAAACGCTCTATCAAAAATACACAGCAACTCTGACCAGAAGGACTTCACATCACCGCATCCTGACCTGACTACTCAGACGTATTCCCAAACGTCCAGCGAGTTTGGACTGCGCATCATGTACAGACTCTGTCTCGGCACCTGTGAGAGGATACGCCGGCCATCTCACGGAACAAGGGATTTGGGCTGGTTCCTCTCACCGTGATTTAAGACAAAGTGCTGCTGTACTGGTTTCTGCAGTCCACCATACAACTGAGATTGTCAAGACAGTATAAGATACTGAAAAGATAGTATAGATTTTGGTCAAACACCAGTTTCTGAGAGACACTGTTTTACAGTACTGTACTTTTGGTATTTCCAAAGTTGTCTGCTTGTAATATTAGAAAATCTGAAGTGTGATGATGTTAGTCATGACTGTTTCTTTAGGCATTTGGCAAAATACACTTATGTATAACAGCTATTTTTAACATTATCAAATGTTTACATATGTACATTCTGTATACTGAGATTATAAACACGTAAGGTAAAAAAAAAAAGATATAATCCTTGTTGGTTTGACGTTTGTGTCAAATAGTTGCCTTTCAAAGCCTGAAATCCTGTCACAAAAAAATTCCTATATTTCTTACCCCTGCATGCTAATTTCTACTACAGTATGTTGTTTATCCCTTACATGTGGAAAGTAAAGAACACAAGGTTCATGCATACAGCGTACAAGTTTACATCGGCTGGGCTCTCCAGGAGGCACGGCCCCAGTTCCGCTCTAGTCTGACTCAGGACTGCATTAAACCAGAGGAAAACTTCTCCTGTGCGGGACTGGCAAACGGACTGCAGCTGGGGTTCTAGGTGAGCATATCTGTCCTCATGCGGAATAGCCTTGTCGCGTCCGGGCTAATTAGCCGTTAATTGTTATGATTTTGGTTGTTCACCAAATCCATAAAATACTAGTCAACAAAAAAAGAAAGACAAAAAAAAAAAAGGCTGCTTTTTTCCCTTCCAGATGAGAGGAGGTTCTCACTGCGATCACAGGCATCTCTGTCGGTCTTTCAAATTGTCTGGAGAGCAGATGAATGTGCAACGACTCAGTGATGCTGAGTTTCTATAAAATTCGAAGTCAACAGTTCTGATGTCACCCCAGGAAAACAGTGCAGCTAAATGGATGTCTCCCATAGCTGGAGAGGGGGAAAAGGAACACAGACAGACACTGAGCACCAAGATAAAATGGGCTGTAACCCAAACGGCGTGAGGAGCTTGGCTGGGGAACTGCATCTACACCACCCGGCTCACCAAGGCTACACTCTTGGTCTCCTCCTGGCCTCTGGTGGGTGCCTGTTCAGACCACAAAGCCAGCAGCCTCAAGCACTTCAGCACAACATTAAGTCGGCATAGTAGATGTCCATGGCTGGGAGCGCAGAGAGTTTGAAGGAAAAATGTCGGTGTAGCATCAACTTTGGATTAGACAGCTTTTACCTTACAGTTACGCTAACTAGTGTTAGTGTAGTCTCCCACTCACTTCTGCCTAACTCTGCTCAGGGTGGCGTGAGTGGGTCTGAGCTGGTGCCACGGCAGCTCCAGGGCTGAGAAACATGCGCCCAGGAGACCCCACGCTGCCCCTCACACAACTTTCTACCCGGGGGTAGCAGCATGCAGGTCCCTCAGCAGCACTGCGTTCCCAGACCAGAGATGGGAATCTCATCTGCATCAGGAACATGAAGCTATCACAAGTAAAACTCCTAAAGTAAATTTCAGAGGTTTTTTTGCTTATTCACTTATCTGCTATGGCTGAACTGGCACAAAGGAAGCAATGGCTAGCGTTGCCTTTTGGCAGCAGCTGGAAATCTCTCCCCACAGAGCAGCACCGCCATCCACAGCACCTCCCAGCAGTTCCTGTCCACGTTGGGGGGCCAGGGTGGGCTCAGGGCACTGTCCTGGTTTCAGCTGGGATAGGGTTCATTTTCTTCCTAGTAGCTGGCATAGTGCTGTGTTTTGGATTTAGTACTAGAAGAATGCTGATAACACACTGATGCTTTAGTTGTTGCTGAGCAGTGCTTACACCAGGCAAGGGCTTTTCAGCTTCCCCTGCTCTGCCCAGGTGCATAAGAAGCTGGGAGGGGGCACAGCCAGGACAGCTGACCCCAACTGGCCACAGGGCTATTCCAGACCATAGAATGTCATGCTCGGGGGGAGTTGGCCGGGAGGAGAGCAATCACTGCTGGGGATGGGCTGGGTATCGGTCAGCGGATGGTGAGCAATTGCACTGTGCATCACTTGTTTTGTATATTCTGTATATTCTATTATCATTATTATTATTGCTATTCTTTTCTTTTATTAAACTGTCTTTATCTCAACCCACAGGTTTTACTTTTTTTTCGGATTCTCTCCCCCATCCCACTGAGGGCTGTGTGGTGTTCAGCTGCCTGCCGGGTTAAAGCACAACAGGCATGCGGCAGCAAAGTCCCTCCAGGTCTGCGAGGGCTTGACACAAGCCCTCCACATCCTCCTTAGCTGCAGTGTTTCCATAAAGCTGGAAAGCAGCCATCCCCCAGCCCAAATGAGAGTTGCTGGCTGCGTCGGCCCCCTGGAAGGGGCAAGGGAGGAGAGCCAGACCCACCACCTGCCCCAGGGCTACCTGTCCTCCACAGCCCCAAGGCTGGCCCAGACACGATTCTAGCTTGAAATAAGACAACTAGTGAAATCCAGGCTTCAGGGCAGGTTTAAAAGCATCCTGAACAGGCATCTGTAAACGCAGCCACTGAGGCTGCCCCAGTCACTGCCAGGGGCTCAGCCTTCAGCAGCTTCTGGAGTTAAGGGCACGAAGGAAACGCAACCGCTGGTCCCACTGTTAGTCAAAGATGCTGATCCGCCACGCTTTCCTTTGGAAAAACTACCAGTAAATCAAGTCACCGATGAAACGCAGAGAGAAGGGACACGTACCCTGGCACTTTGCCTGTTGGCTTTTTTCTCCTCATCAGGAAGTGGTGGCATTGGGTATGGATATTTTCTGCTGGAAGCAATAGATCCAGTGGACGAAGATGGAGACTTTGCAGGAGACAGTGTCCTGAGATGTTGAAACACATAAAATAAATGCGGTGTTTTCGGGTCCTAGCACTGCAACAGCAACTGCCATTACTCTGAAGCTTGGTTCAGAACCAAGTATATAGCTTATTATTAGCTCAATATCAAGGGGGATAAAGTTGTTTGATCAGTAATCTAATAATTTCATTATATGAATAAAGGTATTTATAGCTTTCAGGAACACTGGAAGAAAAAAATAAAATTTCCTACTTCTTATTAGAATTGTATTGCATAACAAAATCAATTTCTTAAACTGTTTTATATGGTACTGTAATTAATCGTTAGAGAATTAACAAATCGAATCTGCAATTGAATAAATACAAAACTAAAAGATAGACATGGCACTATGAAGCCTAAATAGAAACAGTGACTGCATAAATACAAGCTGAACAATGTCTTCTGCCAGTGACTAAATGGCAATTGTCAGTGTCTTTATGTATATCTTACACATCTCTCCTATATTGATACAAACATGGCAAATAAATCTATTATTTTATAAGACATTAATTTACACAAAGGCATGCACTTGGAGGCCAAACTGTTAGTTGTGAAGTAACAAAGGCATATACAAAGTGCTAATAACAAATTATTAGACATGCAAGCATCATACAGTGCATATTGTTCCAGCCAAAGAAAGAGTCTGATGAGAATATACAAAAATGGACTGATTAGTCAATGGCAATCAGCATTTCTGTACAAGGTGAGTAGAGTAAGCAGGAGCAAGTAAATGTTTGTATCTCATGAAAGGCATTCTTTTCATGTCAATAAGGCAGCAGCACATTATTGACTGAAATTTTATACCCAAGAAAAACTCTTATGCTTCTGGTTTGAGATTCTGCACTTTTCCCACTTGAGAGGTTCCTATCAGGCTCTAAATCTGGCACAATAAAAAGGGAAAAAAAGCCTCAAAGTAGAAAAATTGAGCTACCCTGGTGTTCTTGTTCTGTTTTGCAGACTGAGGGCATTTTTCAAAGGAGGCCTCCCACTAGCACAGGCACATCACCCAGACCCTGCCTGAGCACTGCTGCCTACTATCTTCTGAACTTTAAGTGTCCCTGAAGACGGAAGGTTTCCCTTGGGTTTCTACAGAGAGGTCTTCCAAGCTCCTCAAACGCGGCAGGGGGCTCAGTGTTGTGCAGCTGTAGATGCCAGTGATGAGCACCATCACTGACACCAAGGAGCCACAGGAACCACCCCTGGAAGACAGCCCCACATCCCTGGCTCTGGGATTTTCAGGACCAGGTCCTTTCACCTAGAGAGGATTACAGACAAGGCAGGGGCTCTTGCGTGTCTGAAACTGTTTTATCTCTCTATTACCTAAGTGAAATTAATTTACTTTTAAATAATTGTTCTTTTATTTTGGGCTACTGTATCGTTTTGTTGTGCCTGTAGCTCCCTACAACAGCACGCTCTCTTGTCTCCCACACAAACAATGACTGATGGTAGCCACGAGCAACAAGGTGTCAATGGAAATCACAAGGTGACAGCCCTCCAGTCTGGCTCATGATGCTCTAGTGCCTCATGCCGTAGCCTCTAAGTTCAACAGCCCTTAAAAGATTTAGGTTGGTACAACTGTCCAAACACTGAAGAGTACACGGCTTCAGCACATGCACTTTGATCACCCATTAAGATGGACTGGACATACATGAACGTTTGCAGGACAAAAATTTTAAACAGCTACTGCAGTATGAAACAAGAGCGTTCACATGTCCGGCATCACAGATCTGGGCACCAAACTGCACATGCAACAAGGCAGGTTTGGGTTGGTTTTTTTTTTTTTTAAATTCAGGGAAATGTTCTCAACAGTGCCCTGCTGTTCACTGCCTGTACAAGTCCTCTCATCTGTGCCCACTCTCAGACTGATAAAGATCACTGTTAGTGGATCTAGAATTAAAAAAACTAAGGAGAGGAGGAAGAGCTGGGAAGATAAGGAGAGCAGATTTCACATATTATTAGCAATCCAATTAGTCACAAATTTTGCCCCACAGCCACAGGAAGATTTAAAATCCTCAGGTTCAAATTTGTAACAATGCACCAGGAGATCAGAAGCAAGGAACTGGGGGGTGTTAGACCTGACTTGGCAAGCCCTGTCAGAAAGCTGTTTATACAGGTACCACAGCCAGGAGGTGGCACACAGAATGAAAGCATCTCCCATCCCTTGCACCACAACCAGGCAACAACATCACCTCCTGCACACTGCAGGCTCTTCCCACGGGTTATTTTAGGCACCACAGGAGAAGGCCATGGTGAGAGGGAAAGCAAATATACCTGTCCATCAGCCTGAGTAGGTGATCCTGGAAGGAGCAATAACCCCCCAGGGATGGGGCACCTTGAACATCTTCCCTGACCAGGATCCCCAGCTGAGCCTGTAGCCAGGTAGATTTGCACCATAACTCAGTGCCCAGTGCTGCCTTTCCAAAAGATCTTGAAGTCCAGATCTCCAATGTAGCTGCCTACTTCCCAACCCCGCTCCGAATTGCCAGCTCACCTACAGTTTGCAGGCCTGATGCGCACATCGCTGCTCACCTGCACGTGCAAAGCTACAGCCAAATACATCGAGAATGCAGTTGCACACTTAAGAGAAATGACCTCGCCCTCCCCTCACAGGCCCTGGCCCCTTATTTCTGCTACACGAGTTAATGTGCCGGTTTTTGTCATTTTTAGTGCCATCTACTTGAGACTGTAAAAACGTATCGCTACTAAGTGTCTGCTCACAGATCTTAGGATGCATCTTGTGTGATAAGCTGAGTGGTTTGCAGTGGTTTTTGATCACTTTTCAAGTTCTGCCCTGCAATTGTGTATGTGCTGTGTATCCCAGATTTACATGTACTTTAAATGAGAAAGAGCCAGACATGACCTTTCTCATTTACAGGATGGAAGAAAGACAGCATTCAAGGACGCTTGCAGGTAATGCTGGGGTTAAAGGGAGGCAAAACTTTGCAGTTTGGTCAAGGGTAGGATCCATTTAGCTTTCACTGGGGTTTCAGTTCTCCTGGCATCACATCCATTAGCTTTCATGCCAAATCTTGTTTCCAGCTGAAACTTATACAAAAAAAACTAGGAGAGCAGACTGGGTTGCAGACTGCATTCTGCCCTCTAAACGCCGTGACAGTTTTGGAGGTTTTACCACCAACCCCAAATAAAGCCATGCACCTCAACGCACTGCAAGAATTCTCATTTCTGACCAGAAAGCAAGATGTAGTGGCCACTTTGTGTCTGTCTTTCTGTCCTGGAAGCTGAAAGTAAGAGTGTGGGGAGACCGTGCTGGGATTCACAGCAGAACGCTGTGGCAGTGGGAGGGCGTCTGCATGCGCCCCCCCGGCCGCCAGGCGCCTGCTCTGCCTGCCCATCACCCAAACTGTTGGCCCATGAGAGACCAAGGTGTGAAATGTGTCACCAGGTCACACAACTGAACGCCTTGTGACTTCGAGTGTCGTTTTAGCTGAACTCGAGGCAGGTGGCCCTGACAGATATGAACTGTTCATAAGCTGTGCTTGATTCTGTTCCATAGACTGAAATAATTTAATGGAATTCACTTAACGTTCAATGTGGCGAAAGCATTTAAAGCCCAAATGAAGATACTACAAGCCTAACCTGGCCTTTGCTGCCATAGGTTCAGCTCTTTGTAGGACATCACCAGCCTAAATTATCCTACATTAGGAAGTTGGGATCTTCTAAAATCACTGATGTGGCTAAACCTTTTAACATTTTAAATGCAGTTCCTTTTAAAAACCGCAGATGTGTGGAGGTTTCCTCAGAAAGTGCCTCGACACAGGCTCAGCTTGCAGGGGGCTGCTAAAAAGGCAAAGGCTGTGGCCTGAGCCAGCCGCTGTAAGCGCTGCACAGCAATGCCCCAGGCACTCACATGCTTTAACAACCCCTTTTTCCCTAAGTCTTGAAATGACATCCTGATCCTACTGACATCGACAGGCATTTTGGTTTTTTCATTGGCTGCCAACAAGGACACTATTTTGCTTTGGTTGCAATGGGGAAAACTTCCACCTCCCCCCCTCCCCCCTCCTTTAAGCACGGTCTAAAGCTGCCTCCGTGAGAGCAGGGAGCTGGCTGGTGATGGCTCTGGCCTCAGCTGGGTGCTCTCCAGGGAAGGCAATGGACCTCACAGAGCAGCAGAGCCAACTCTGGCTAACGATCAGCTGAGGAGGAGCTGAGAAGAAACCGAGGAAGAAAGCAAGAATGCCAAAGCACAGAAAAAATAGGAGGGAAAAGGATAGTCTGCTGTCTCCTGCCCTCCATGCTCCTTGCCAATGCCCTTCTGGTATGGGATGGCTGTTTTCCCTCTGGGTAAGCATCCTGGCTTCTCCACCTAAAAAACCTGTTTTCTTTGTAAACTATTTTTATACTTAAACAACTCCCATAGAACCTAAGTTACTGTAAACATTTGCATTAAATCAAATGTAGACAGCTCAGAGCTTCAGAAGGTGCCTTCTAGTCCTTTTTGTCTATAATTATCTACAGAAATGCCACACTTTGGGATTCTGACAGCTTATTTTCTGATACCATCATGGTTCCTGAGTCTTTCAAGATTCAGCGAGGATTTCAAGTAATCCTTAAGCGTATTTCCTAAGGTCAGTCTGTGCAGTAGCCACTGCAGCTGGCAGTAACAAAAATAAGTAGCAGTATCACACTGGTAAAACAGCGTGCCTTGCAGCAAAGCGAAATTAGGGGAAGGTTTCCTGCCTGGGTTTATTGCTGGGGTTAGGCAGCTATGGCCTGGCACGTCAAATTAAAATCTAGTCTGGACTTTGAGCAGTAAAATGAGATCTTTCTTTACAGGTCTTATTTTCTTACAGAAGGGAATCCCACAGCTGGGAGCTTTCTGGCACTAGAGACACCAGCTACTATTATTATTAATAAAAAGTAATTATATAGAAATACCCATTAGACTTGTAGACTACGAAAAAAATTAGTAACTAGGACACCAGGTGTCAGAGAGACAAATTTTGATTTATACAGGGGGTTTTTTTAAGCTGATGGAGAAAGTCTTTGTGATGACTAATACCTCTATTTTCTGAAGATTTGCAGCATTCCTAGGAATTACAGAAAGTTTTTTTGCCTGTTTTCCTGATTCTACTTCAACTCTACCTGCAATAGCACCAGTCATCAACACATTATTCCTAAAACTATAGGGAGACAAGCAAAACAGCAGTGTTACTTTGAGAACATCTTTAAAAGAGAAATCAAAGATGATTAGCAACAAAAATACTACTCAGCTCATTATCTATCTGATGCAAATGTGTTATCCTGGGCTATGATTCCTAAAATGTAGCATCATCTGGACAGCCTGATTTCAGCCTGACTTTCTGGTTTACCAAACGAGATTTGTTTTGTTTTGTTTGTGAATCACTTCACAGGCGCAAACTCCAGCCATGTGATGTTCAGACACACCGTTCTTAGGAACGATGTTTTCCAGTCCGTGACCGATTAACCAAAACTGCACCTAAGTTTTGGGGAGAAACCGGTCAGTTCAACCTGCTGCAAGCCCATGGCAACTCATCCCGGGAGCAGATTTGATCCCTTGCCTTCCATAATGTGCCTGCAGAATACTTCCCCACGGTTACCTCAATTAATTAGGACATACAGGTTTCTAAATTTATTCTAGTATCTCTCTCATTTCTAAAGCTACTGCAGCAGGCAGTCACTGGTAAGCTTCTATGGTGTAAAATTTTTAATTTATGTTTCATCTCTGCTGATATACAGCCCTTAAAACTCTCATGGGTCAGCTTAAACCTCATCTACATGCAAAAAATGCTTGGTTTGCCTCAAATACAATTAGAAATGTGACTCAGTGCAACAGCTGAAAACCCTTAGTGTTGGGGTACGCTCCCATCAATTTAATCTTGTTACTAAATCAAGATATACCGATATCAAAAGATGAAAACCAAATTAAGAGTATCCACATAGGAATTTAAATTTGTTTAACTAAACCATTTAAAGTAACATACTTTAAACTAGTGCTTTCTTCATACTGCATCAATGTCTTTGTTTACTGCGACCTGAAAGACAGCGGTGGCGTTAGTTATGGGGCGTGACTGATGGCCTTGCCTGAACAACAAAGGTCCAGAGGGTATTTTTAGGAAAAGGTCTGCTAATAAAAACGCACCTCACTCCTAGTATGAGTTTGCCTAATTTCACCTTTCAGTGAGTTTTGGTCATTATTAGTCTCAGTCTGCTAGTCCAAAGGACTTCCCACAAAGGTTTTGCTCCATATGGAGGTACGTGGATTTTATGACCAGGTAAGCTTTTAGCTGCTCCATTAACCTGAACAGCTTGAGGCCCTGAAGTCCCTTATAAGGTTTCTCAGGGCTTAAATCTCCCTAGTTCTTAAACATGCTTGCTGAACTGTGGACACCAGAACTGGACCCTGTATCCCAATGCTAAAACCAGCAATGGTGAAACTACTGGATTCACAACACCCCCCCACCCGCCTGAATGTCCAAGCACCAACACCATGACCTGGCTGATACCAGCTGGCAAAATCACAACATCCTCCTGCAGGCCTTGGTTTCTTCTGTCAGGGATTTTTTACTCCTTGTTCAGGACCAAGATCAGGACTGGCAGGCTTAAATCTACCTCGTTTGCCCTATTTCTTCATTGGAAAGCCTTTCTACAACTCACTCTGTGATCTGAGAGTTCTTGAAAACAAACACAAATCGTTTTTAAAAAGTGTCAATTTTATGCTCTTTTAAGACTTTGGACATTTTTATTTCTAAAAATTACTAAATTCCAACTCTGCTATTTAGTATCTGGCAGTGCTACTATTGGAATAGAAGTGTTTCATTAGCATCTTGTGATACAACTCCATCACGTTTCTTTCCCCAGATATACACTGGACATATCTAGTGAACGTTTCTGCCCTTTTGCACTATTGTTAGGTCTACAAATGTAGCAAAATTATTGTTAAGATTCTATTTACTTGTTCTTACTATCCTTTACTGTTTTGGCTGAAGATTTTGCTTTGTATTCTTTTTCTTTGTGTTTCTATAATTATTGTTTCAGCTTAATTTTTGATAGGTCAACTTGCAGCTTCATAAATTTCTTTCATATTTTATATTATTTGTCATAAATTGTCTTCCATTCTCTCCTATGCAAGCTGATTTTTTCAGCTGATGCAAACTTCTGTCTCAGCTGTGGGATTGTGTCCTTTGGGAATCCACTAAAATGTTCTCAGTCTCCTGATTCATGTACAACAGGGAGGCCAGCCTCATGCACCCTTCTCTCTAACTTGGAAGGTACCAAATAATACACACTTTCCCCTCTCAAAAGCCAGTGATATTTTTGGTTGAACCCTACACTCACTTGTAACAGATTCATTAGTGGTTCGATAAGTAGAGCACAGAGTATATTCTCATACATTTAATTTTCCAATTACAATATATTAATTATTTCATTGTATGCTGAGGGTAAAATACCACTACTTTTTATTCTTTTTTCATTTAAATTTTAGTATGCACTATATAAGACAGTGGGTAGAGTCAATGTGTTATGAAACCACTTCCTTCAATAAATTACATTCTATTTAAGTTAATACTACTTTATTAGTGATAAATATGTCTCATGCCCATAAAACACTACTTGGCATAAAATGATGAGAAAGCTACTACAAGCTATAGATGATGGTGGGAACGCATGCACTACACACACCCTTTTCAATGGCTTCATTAAAACATTCAGAAAAAGAATTGTAAATTGCACATGAAGCCAAAAACAGACATCAAAATGCAGCAAAAGAAGAGGGGCCCTTTGCACCTACAGTAACTTGTATTGATTTATACAAGGTAGGAGTCCCAAGATATTTGTATATGCTGGAACAGCTCTTAAAAATGATATAGAATTAATTTACAAAATACCTAAAGTATGGTCCTTCAGTGTTTTTATTCACATCTTCTACCCACTTAGCTACATTATATTCTCTTTTGAACCATGGGTTTAAATACCTGCAGAAAGCAATGGAAGGAACAGAGAAAGCAGAAGAACAAGAATAGAAAATCTGAGAACACACAGCACAAGCTTAGCAAGGATGTCTTCATCCCCAAAATGCAAGTGAATATGGCAAATAAATCAGTATGAATGTTGGGTGAGGACTAGGCAACGTGTACAACTGCATGAGAAAATCTGACCTACAACAAGACTTGTATGTTTGATCAACCTGGAAACCCTTTGGGATACATCATTCATTTAATGTCTTAAGGATAAAATTCACTCCTATGCAGAGGGCCAGCTTTAAGCTCATGGTTTGAACTCCTCTCATGATCTCAGAATAAGGATGAAGGGGCATTTTGGCTCCAATCCTGCAGTTTGCCTGTTGAAGACACACGTTTGCACCCATCTAGAAAAAATTGCAAGATGATAGTTTAATGAGCACAGAAACTTGGGCTTGGCCCTTTCTACAGGAATGAATTTCAGCCTCAGTGTGTTAAAAGGCTTGAACTGTTTGCCACCACGGTGGCAATTCTTACACTTATGTGCAAATAACCCTCTGATTTTTCAGTGATCATTTAATTTGGTAGGACAACAAGACGCTTTAATGGAGGGGGCTGCAGAATTATCTCACATTTCACAGAAGCAATCTTGATACCAAACATAGTTTTGAGGAAAAGTCTGAGCTACATACTCATATTAGTTACATGAAAACTATGAAATAAAAATGCTGGTTAATTATCTTACAGTAATATTACCAGGGAAGAAGAATTTGGTGTTTTTAACTGGTTTCTCTTAGCCCCCAGTAACAAGATTAGCGAATTCCTCCCCCTCCGTCATGTTAAGAAAAAAGTGCAATGTAGAAACAGGAGTCTGCCTGGTCCAATTTAAAATCTGTTCTTGTTGTATAAGAATAGCAACAGTTTAACGATCATTTGTGATCACCACCTTTATATAATAGAGACTAGCACACTCTGAAAGAGGAAACAAATTGTAACCAAGGAAAAAGGGAAGAAAAATCCTCTTTAAGTTATTTTTGATACTTCTGGGCCAGTTCTCGCCACCCTTGTTTATGAGAGTGACTCCAGTGACCTCACACATGGGAACAGGCCTTGCAAGGGATTGCTCAGATGAGTAAAGGTTGGGCCAGATCACGTCGTTCAACCCCCACCATATTTCAAACCCCGCTGGTGACAAAAGCGGCAGCACTTTTTCAACGTCTTTTGCTCCTTTTTTGCTCTGGAACTCCTCTTCCCCGCCCCGCACAAGCACAGCCACAGCTCTCAGAAAGTACTCGCCCTCAGCCACAAGTGCTTCTAAGTAGCTTCCTCAGCTCGCTTATTTATCAGGAATCAGGAGTGCTTTATGCTTTCCAGCTTGGGCTTTTAGAGAAAGAAAATGTCAAAAGTGGTAGCACAGCAAGAAGTGAACCACAAGTGAAGCAACAGGCTGACGCCAGCATCACCAGGATCTAATAAGCTCCTGCTTTCGCTTTAATTGTAGGTGCGACTACACATTTTCTTGTACTTGCTGCAGTGCTTTTGACTTGCTTTTTTTCATTTGAAAGGGTCTTTTGGTAACCATGAAACACTCCCAATCTGGCTTCCTGCATTAGAAAACAAAGTGTAACGCGGTATCAAAGCATGCAGTTGTTGCACAACCGTGTTGCAGGGTTTCCTGGGTCTGGTTGTACTACAGACCGTCGTTCACCACCTCAATTCATCTGTTATGGAAAGGTTAAACTCAAGTTACTGCAGACCACTACGTGACACCATTAGAAAGCTCTCAGGTTGATCCTCCCGGCCACGTGTTCATTAGCGATAGCCAGAATCCGCATTTTCTTTGAGTGAGAAATTCCGCTTTAAAACACAGGTGTCCTTACACGTAAGCCTATAGCTAGACCAACGGCTCGATTTGGCTTGTAGCGCAACATGCAACAAGGCAAAAGACCTGGGCTCAAGAGTACTCGTACTCCTCAGGCTGGCGAGGAGGAAGGTTAGCTAGCGCTGCATCAGCAGGAGCACCTCCAAGCAGTCACGGTGTTTTGCCACAGTGACACTATTGTATACTGCGGGAAGGGACTTTTCACGGGATAAAATGGCAGCCCAGAACGCAGGGGCAGGCGAGACTGACCTGTGATCCCGACTCCCTGTTTGGGGGTGGTCAGAACCCCCTGGGCTTATGCCTTGGGCCGGGATTTGGTGGGCGAGAGAAAGCCCAGGCTCAGATGTATGGGTTACCCTGCTGCAAAAAGACAATATATAATAGAAAGTCTAAGCCAGAGATGCTTGTATCAGTTATAACAACGAGGAAGACAGACGCTTATAGGAAAATCAGTGCAAATTAACAAAGGTCAGAATCGCTATTTGGCAAAGCGTGTGTTCTCTGGGACCTGTTTTAACACAAGCTCCCAATTAAACTGTCAGCTTATTCAGAAAACTCTCATTATCATTCCTGGATAACTCTAATTGATTTTAATAGAAAATTTGTTTTATCAGGCCTGTTTGTGAAAAAGCTGCAGAAACATTTGCCCTGTTGGCATTCCTTTTGTGTGAACTGAACCATCTGCCTTGAGTAAAGAACACACATTTTGTTTTAAAACATCTAGAAACAATAAAAAACACCCCAAAAGAGCTTTAGCAGTCTCCATAGAGCTATATCCTTAGCAGAAGCCTTGCTCGTGTATCTGTCAGGTACAAGGGGTCATACAAAGGCATGAGCAGTACGTTTTTCAGGAACTGCTCAACGTGCCCGCAACCCTCCTGTCCGTACTGCTCATAAGGGCTGCAGAGCTCAAACCTAGTTCAGTGCTCAAAGAATCAAATTTGCTTAAATTATTAATGATACTAGTCTCTATGTGGTGCTTAGCTGTATACAAAATAAACCTTGTGCATGATATATGCAGTTACTGACTCATGCATATGTCAAATACTTTTGTAGTCAATGGTACCAGTTCGCACCTGCTTAAAAAAAAAATTGAATTCTGCACAAGGTATGACACAAATGAACCCAATTTTCTAGTGCTTAACTTTACTGTGTCTACTACTAACAGGAGACGAACAGTGTTACCCCTTTTCTTCCATCTCAACAAGTACACTTCATCAGGCTGCCGGGGCCACACAGGTGAACTTTCCAAATGCCATCCACCGTTTCAGAGCAGATTTCAATATTCTTTTGTATTTCCCAGAGAAGGTAAGAAGGTAAATTTGTCTGGGAAAAGCCTTCATGTACTCTGAGGCATCCTCGAAGCAGCTAGCGTTGCTTTTTGTTCTAAATGAGTAAATGCTGGCCATGGTTCGATCATTCTCAATTTCCTCTGCTTGCAAAGGAAGTTCTCCCTCTAACCAGAGACACTGTGTGCCCTCAGCAATTCTCTCCATTCCCTACCAAACTGGCACAGCCCGTGGACCATTCAGAGGGCGTGTTCTCTCCAAGGGTGACAGGCTTGCCAAGGAGACTCAGACAAGGCATGCGGTCGCGTGCAATCCAGGATAGACCCCATCAGGTGAAAGAGCACTTTCCTGCCTGGCAGGTCTCTCCCAGGAGCACACACGCTGTGCTTCGTCCCTAACAGGCTGCCACAGCACAGCCCTTGGGAGATACAAGCCTCCTCCCTCTAGCACCAGGGCTGCTGCTGGGTTGAGAGGCCATAATCAGCAGCAAGAAGGAAAGCAGAGAATTAAGTGGAAATTCAGGGGCACCTTTAAAAGAGGAAAAAAAAAATTACAGGGAAAAAGATTTCCAGCTCACACGCTCTCTGTCTAGCCACTTATTCAGTGCTCCAAAGTTCTCCGAGCAAATGCATAATATACCAGCCGAGCAGCACAGGGAAAAAAATCTGCCCATTGGGGCTTTCTGCTTTTATTGAAAACAATACTCTTCCCATGCAGTTACGTTCACTCTAGGCTAAAAAGACCTGATCTGGTTTTATTCTTTATGGACCAATTCAGCCCCAGCGTACACCTCTGCTGAATGATGGAATAATGGTATCATTAATTTTTATTTTTTTTTAACAAATTTTGTTTAATACAATTGGAAAATGAAGGAAAGCACAGGACAAGTTTCTAAAGAAGAATGTGCAACCTCATTTGTATTCTTGGCAGTTTGGTCAGACTAATTTTGCTTTTATCAACCACCTCAAGCAAAGAGAAAAGAAAATGAGCAAAGTAACATTCCAATAAGAGTTTATCAGCATGAAGACCAAGAGCACGGATGCACTTGACAGATAAACTCCTCCAAGGTATCTGGGGCTAAAATTTCTGGTTCCATGTCGCCATTTTGACCATGCAATGTTATAATTGCAATGTGCATCAAACTATTATTTCTGTAACTTGTAACAGAGGGTCTTCTCTATGAATCTTTCTAAGCCTAACCACCTCAAGACAGTGCACTGCAGGTGGAAGAAAAGTTTCAGAACAAACTCAAAATCCCCAAACCAAAGAGGAATTAAGCCTTATTAGCGGGGACGGTATCAAGCCCATTTGCCCTACAGGTGCAAAGTTAGTACTAATGATACAGGGAAAGGACACTGTCATTGCCACTATGGTCGAAGAAGGGGTCATTCCCGTGTGGCGTAGGTTCTGTAAGAGCAGGCCAGTGCTTGACAAGCCCAGAGATTATGTTTCCAGACATTGACCATTCGTTCACGAAAGGAGCCTGAACCAGCAGGCTTAAGTACATAAGAAAGACTCTTTCCCTATGGGGAGCACTGCACACATGGGCTCTTCAGTGAACGTAACCAAAAAATCAATCTATCTAGAATGCAACTCTAAGCTATACTGGAAAGGTCTGGGGATCAGTTGCTTGGTAAGGACTCTCATTACCCATTTATTGCTGGGCTTACTCAAGACTGGCTGTTTCAGGCTTACAACAATAAACTTCAGGGTACTCTCAAAGCAGACAGATACCTCTCCTAAAACCTTCAGGCAGGTACGCAGAGATACAAATCTCTAACTCTGCAATGGCCCAACCCAAGGTGAAGACAAGGGTAGGAAACAGGTTATCAGAAATTCAGTATTGAACCAGGATACACTCAGCAATGGCAGTTTACTGTAGACAAAAGCCTGCAGTGATGGTGCAGGCTGCCACCATCATTGGGAATTGCTATGGGAACAACTGTGAGGAAGCCTACATAAAAAAGAAAATTGATAGTTAATTTTTAAAGAATACACAAAAAGAGGTTGAAATACATTAGCCAAACCATTTACCAGATTATCAGCCAGCAATCAGAATGGGCCACAGAGCAAAAATGCAGCTGTCTACTTTTCAGTACTCTTAATCTCCATCTACAAAACACAAATATGAAAACTGTACTTTTTGGCTTTGCTTTTGTAAGTTCAGACTTACTCAGTTGAATTAGACCGTGGCCTAAATCTTTTGCCTCTGACTTTCTTTCTGTTTCCTCCTATATTACCTGAAAGAAATCACAGGATAAAGACAGACAGTAAAACAATTTGAAACTCACCTGCGTCCCATGCCAAACTGTATATTCTTTTTGCATCCCCAGCAAAAGAGTCGTTACCTCATTAGCTTTAACCATTTAAAAGTCACAGGTTTGATTTACCTCAGACCAGGTAAACTTGACAATTAGGTGACCTTTCTCTACTTTTTGCTGCAACTGTGCAGAGCAAAAAACTCCTTAATTTCAGCTTTCATTTCAGAAAGTCACTACACTTCAAGAAAAACGTTAAACACTGCCTGGTAAAATCACAGAAGCTGGCAAGAGTGAATAAACTTCTTCCTCTTTTTCATGTTAGCTCACACTGGAGGAGTGGGAGAAATTAAATGTCATTCCTATGTGCCAAAGCATTGTGCAAAAAAGATTCTTGTGTAGGGTGTTTCTAAATCCCAATTCCAGGTTAATAACAATTAGCACAATTTTAATTTTGGCTGCCAAACTTTCAGCAGAGCAGCAATGGCTCAGAGGCTGGCTCCCACTGTGACCAGCACAGAGGTTCACACTTACCTTGCCAAGAATTACTCCTAGGCCTCCCATTTTCACAAATGTCTGAAATATGTTTTGTGTCTGGGATCCTTTCACTCCAGGAATGAGATAATCCATTTGACCTGGAATAGGAGGGCTCAGATGCGGTTATGGTTGCCGGTGACATAACGCAGCCTAAGGTCTGTCTGCACTAGCAGAGCATCCAGGATTTCTGGTTAAACCCTGCAGTGACACTTTGCCAGCTCTCCCTGCAGTGGTTTGGTGCGTCCACATTCAAGAGCTAGGCTTCAGCACTGCTTCCTCCCGCGCCTACTGCGGAAAGCACAGACACCAGCACAGATTTCCAGCTCTGCCCCAGTTCTTAGCTGGAAGATGCTCTTCCAACTGTGCTCATCTTGAGGGGGTTTTTCCTCACATCCCACCTGCAGGCTGCATGCTCCCCCCTCACGCTGCTGCAGGGAAGCTGGGACTGCTTCCCTCTGCCCACCACCACAAGTCTCAAGGGCCCAGGAACATCCTCCCACCCACAGCTGGTAGCTCCAGTGGAGGGGTAACTCTCTCATCTTTGCTAATTTTGAATTTCTATTGTATTTTGTCAGCTAGTCACTACAGGATATAATTTTAATGCCAAACTCAAAGCCAAACCCAGTCTTTACATCTAGGTTCTTGGTGCAAACTAAAGTTTTTCTTTCTTCTTGTATTCCCTCTAAGAGGCAGAGATGTGTGTGACAAGGTCCAACACATGGGGTTTTGCAACAGGCTCCCTCCTGTTGAACTAGAGCTGCTGCTCAGCTGTTTGCCATGAGACCTACAACTGTTACCAAAAGAGAAGAAAACAAGAGGAAATTGAAAACTGGTCAGAATAGATGGCTTATTTATTACAAAGAAGTTTTGCTTAAAGGAACTATTTCTGTAGTTTTTAAGTCTGGATACTCTTGCATTTTTCAGTCTCTGCTTTCCTTGGAGGGCAGGCATCTGACAGATGCTCTTCAGGTTCCAGAAGCCCAGGCTAATCACAGCCACACTGAATTAAGTCAAGGGTTTTGTTAATTCAAACTTACTTACAGCATGAAAGGTCTGAGAACCAACAGATCCAGTAACAGATTTTTTAACAATTTTCTCCTCCTAATGGTCTACTTTCAGGTTCAGGGGTGTCTTGCTGTGTACTGGTTTTGGTGTTTGCTGTTTCATAATAGCAAGAGTTATCATAAAGTTATCCCTTCATCCTTGAATGTCCTAATACTAACACTTCATAGCACTTCCCAGCACGGAGAAGCCCACGCAGCTAATGGCCCGGTCACTCTAATGTCTCCCAAGAGATGTCACTCACATCTGCACACAAAGCAAATCAAAACCAGCTTGAAAGGTAGGAAATAGCACTTGGGGCACTGAAATGGGAGGACTATGTCAGCTCCACCACAATGTTAATGGAGTATTTGTCAGACTTACTTCTCCAGACGTTACAGTGGCACAACACACCCAAACTGGTGGTGGGGAACAACAAAACTCTCTAGTACAGACAGACCTTAGAAGCCATTAGCTTTTTGGAACAAATAATAAACAGAGACTCATGAAAGAAATGAAGTATGAAAAGAAACACAGATACTGAATGAAAGAAGAAACACATTAAATTATATTAATTTGAAAACAGACTTCTTTTTCTTAACTGGTCTTTGAACCTGCTTACACAAAGCTATGAAAACTTGCTTCCCCAAGACTTTTTAAAAAAGTTTTATCCAAATGAGAAAAGATTCTCCAACACAAACAATGCATCATTTAAGATTAACGCTTTCTCCCTGAAAACAAATAATTTATTCACTCACAAATCTAAAAAGCTGAATTTAAAAATTAGAAACCATTAATTAATTATACACTACTACAGTTTTCTTAACAACACATTAATTAGAACAAACTGAATGAAGTTGCATATAGGATCGAGCTGCTATAGCCAAATAGCAAGTGTCACTGCAAACTTATCCCTTCCATACATTTCTCTCTACTTTCTTTGAAATAACAACAAACAAAATGGCTTCATCAACTCCACAGTTATAGATTGCCAAGAACTGAGAATTGCAGTCTTCATATGAAGCAGTTCAGGCCTGTCTATCCCTCCTATGACACAGTGCTTCTCATAAATTGTTTTAAAGTGCTAGCTGGAGATTTTTGTAATTAAAGGATCTCTAACTGCAGAGGGATGGTGAGCATCATGACCTAACGACTTTAGCAATTACAAATGACTCTCAATGCCTTTCAACGAATTTTCCATTTTAAAATATTGTTGGGTTTTTAAAGTAACTGGAACAGAATTACTGAAATCTGATAAAGTGCAAAATCTAATGGCCTCCTTGGTTACTCATAATAGCAAGCACGAAACTACAGAAAGTCATTGTAGAATTATTTTCTAAGATAACACTTGGTGACCACATATATACTAGTCTAGTAAGTGGAATAAAATGCAAGCACCATCATCTTTAATGTAAGACAGCAAGAATATTATCCAGAACTCTAGGTCAACTCAGTGAATTCATGACACTGACAAATAAAGATATAAAAATAACATTTATATTGAACAGTCTATATTTATAACTATTATTGAAGCAAGACATTGTTCCTTTTCTTTGATTACATGACCATGATTTAAAAAATTGTGGTTCTTTTATTTATTTTTTTCTTTTTGAGCCAGCAATTATTATTACAGTCTACTTGAAAGCAATTCTCAAGCAGGGAGAAGATGAAAATTTGATTAGCTGAAAATTGGTTTACAACGGAAAACTTGTTTATTCTGGACTAACTGTAGTAATTAGCAGCTCAGGTCATGTGAGAAAGATCAGTAATCAAAGCACAAAGGATGCTATTTCAAACACTCCACAAAGAAAGAAGAAAGAATCAAACCTGCTGCAAAACAATGAAATGTTCTGACTAATGGAATAATGGGTGATGGAACAGGTAGAAATCTGAAAATGCGACAGAAAAGCAGACCTCTTCTTAGAACTAGATGCAGAGTTTGTGCTGACTCCAGGAGGCATGTCGCTATAAAAAGAGTCGGCCTCTCCAGGCTTTTTTACATAATCTCCCTGGGGTATTTGTCTAAAGTATAATAAACATTGTAGAGTCAGAAAACATGACAGGCACCAGCACGCATACGAACATGCACAAATATTAGTTTAAAAGAAAGAGGCAAGGAGAGCGAACCTTGAGGAAACCTGTTAACCACACACAATAAGCCCATTAATAAATAATTCAACCATCTGAGAGAAAATGCCTACGTGCTTCGGATATGTGCAGAGAAGTGGATTATGGGGTTTCGGTAAGGGAAAACACGGAACGTTTCACTGATAAACTCTGATCACCGTTTTCAAAGTGAATACCCCATGGTTCTTGAGACATTGGCTAACCAAGTTCAGACATTTCAAATGGCTCATTGCGCTGGTTGCAAAAAGCACCCCCAGGTGCCGTACGAGTACTGCAGCCCAAGCTGAGCACATGCCGCCATCAAAAAGGAGCCTGGGAAAAGCGAACGCTTCTTTCCTTCTGAGGCAGATGCTTTCCATTTAATTTTTGTGATCATTCTTGAATTCAAGAATAACAAACTGTTGAGTTGTTTAAATCTCATGAGGAGAAAAACCTCCAGTTAATTGACTGTTTTCTTGTGCAGAGGACCTAACGCCAGTGTCAGAGGTTCTCAGCTACTCCTGATTACCACGGTAGACTCAATCTGACAAGACACACAAAAATAATGCCACACATATCTGACAACAGTTTATCCTTTTCCATTACTAGAAGCTCCATTATGGTGCATAAAACTACCTGTGCATTAGAAAGTCCTAATCAAGTTATGCAACTTTTTTGCAGACGGTAGATTCATTGCCAGCAGGAAAACTGCCGTGCAAATATTCCAGTTACAGTTCCGCCAAGTTGAAAAATCCTCCCTAGTATAAGTAGCTACTTTGAAAGTCAGCTATATCATAGTACCAGCAACCAAATTATCTATTCGGCCTTGCACTCTCCAAGGCCTTTTTGCTTCAGTCTGCCCCTATTAAGATGTGCATTTATCAGAAGGTTGATTCACATTCAGATTGTGTCCAACTATAGACCTGAACTGGGCTCTCTTCATTCCATATTTGAATTTCTAATGCTCCTAAAGTATTTAAAGTATATCATTATAAGGCACATCAATCATTGGTGTAACACAGTACTTCCACACTATTTCTTCTAGCACCTCTTGATTCCTCAGCCGGTACATCAGTGTGTTCAGAATTGACTCAATGTGGGCAGCTCTGCTCTCCAGGCCTCCAGAAAATTGCCCTCTCAGTACTCCATCAGAAATTATTTCTCCCATGTAGCTGTGCCCTTTAAGCCACACTATCCCAGCTTGCTGAATCCTTGCTAATTTGCTCTCTTTATTCCTTTCAGTTTACTCATTTAAGTTGCTTAGTACTACCAAATATTCCTTATGTAGCCCTCAGAAATACCTCCATGGCTTGTTTTCATCTTTATTTAAGATGTAATCATAAAGAATTAAAAAAAAAGGACACTCTGGACACTCTGATGGATGCCTGGTTTTTTCCACTTACGGAGCACTCCTTGTACGTATCCAAAACTATTCTATTTACAAGTCAGCCCATAGAACTTCTTTTTCCACATGAAGATTTAGTTGCTAAATATCTCCATCAACTTTAAAATGATGGAGCCCTCCATCCCCTTGAAAAGCCTCAGCTTATGCCGGTTTCCACTCTGCCCACGCCCACAGACACAGCTGCAGACTGACTGCATCCTCACAGCTCTCTGTCCATATACTAATGTCTGGAGATGAGGGAATCTGGAAAAATTAGATTCCCTAATATTCCAATGTGAACATGCATGGGGTGGTCTCTTTCTGTATTTCGAGGTTTTGGCTGCTCTGTGCTCAGCCAACACTGACACACCCACAGTAGAGTGACTTGATGGCCATGTTTGTCTGCACTTACAGACACATCGCACGCCACTAAGCAGCACCAAACCCTGAAATTCTGCCTTCCTTGTGCCAGGTGATGTTTCCTACCCACCAACCTCTCCATAAGGCTTGACTTCAATAGCTTTGCCTTTTTCCCGTTACCGTTTCTGCCACCTACCTGACCTCGCAGTACGCAACCAGCACTTGGCAGAGCTTTTCTGCTTTTTGCAAGTAGTTTGAGCCTGGCAGAAAAAGCACTACACAGGTAGTGGAAATGGAGAACAAGCACAATGGGTAGCAGCAACAAACAAGGCAGCAGCGTGGACCAGGAGGTGGTGACGCAGGCAGAAAACAGGGGAATTTGAGAAACCCTCTCACCTGGGAGAGGAAGGAGCCAACTCCTTCCCAGAAGACCCATCTGCCAGGCAGATGACCAATCTAAGGGAGGTGGTCTTCCAGGAGCCAAACCCCAGTCACAAGGAACTATTTGGGTTTTGGCCACAAGCTTGAAAGAGTGAAAGCTCAGCCCTGCGCTGACGATGGTACCATGCTTCAGCTACATCGAGCAGGGTGGCCACAAGCTTGAAAGAGTGAAAGCTCAGCCCTGTGCTGACGATGGTACCATGCTTTAGCTACAAATCCATCGAGCAGGAAAGAATAGGCTCTTCATTCACACGGCAATTTAACTGCGTTGTATTTTTAATTGCAAAGAAGCTCCAGGAATTAATTTGTCTCAAAAGGCTCCTGAACATCATGTTAATATTAATTATTCATTTCTCAGCCTCCCAATAACACTTTCATCTCTAATAGCAGATTTTCAGTCTTATTGGAAATATTCTCCTGTTTTCCTAAATAAAATAGTCTAGCTCAGAAGTAAACATTATTTTTGCTAGAGTTGAGTGAAATCAGGATTTCAAGCAATGCACTTATAAATACCAACTTCACATATTCAAGCAAATATTCTTTAAAATACGATAATTCATCACTGTATTTTCTTTATAGAAAATATAGCGATCACTATATTTTCTTTATACCATGTAAATGAGCAAGAGAGAAGAAAAGCTATTTTCAGAGCTTTCTAAGACACATTCCATTACTTTTATCACATACCTCTGTCTTCTGTAGTTTCTTTCCATACAAAGAGATGAGAAAGAAAGAAGAATGAGTTATCAGTATGCAGGTATACATGGTCAGTAAGAGAAAAAAAAAAATATAAAGAGAAAAGCAATGTAAAAAAACTGAAAAAGATTAGTCAGGCTAAAATAATCCATTTTGCCTTTCAGTGAGTGGAACACTGACAGCTCTACACCAGGAAAGAACTTGCACCTTATTTGCAGATTACAGATCTCTGTTACCAAAAAACATGCCTGAATTAATTTCAGGTTAAGCTGACTGAATATAAACATCTGTTTAATGAAGCCTATGGTTAAATGCTTTACTGACTGACTGAAGGCTAATCTTGCCAAATTTACTTCATCATTAGGAAAGATTCATGATTGAATCAGACTATATTCTTGTATGTCCTTTGTCAGATTCAGTAAAATCATAATCCAATCATTTACAAAAGAAAGAAAAGAAATAACTAAATAAGAAATAAATTTCAAACCTGGATCAAGCTCTCCAAAACCACATATACATGTAAGAATTCCTTGAAAAATGCTAATACTATAAAAATGTCGCAGTATAAATAGAAACCAATTTGGATTTTTTAGATTAGGTTTGAATTGTTCTTTTTGTAACTTAATTGGCTACCAAATGAAATAAACATATTTTTAACTGTATTAAGAAGAACACAATTTACTTACTTGTAACCCCAACCAGTTATTCCTAAAACGAGGGCCAACACTAAAATGGTGCCAGCAATAGCCCCTATTATTATATTTGTGCTAACAACACCTGGAAACACAAGAAAGGGGAAAAACATACAGGGGTTTAGGAGACGAATATACAAAAACATTAAAGTCACTGTCTTTCAAAAACCTGCTTGGACAACTTGCAAGGCTAATCCCTTGGCTGATTAATTGTAACCAGTGATATAATCTTGAAGTATATCATGGACATAAAAAGATCATTTTGTAAATCAAGCATTGACGTCTGTGTCTGTTTCCCTTAACTGAACACTTGCTACATGGGAAAATTGTGCCAGGTATGCCAATATAATGTCATTAGTATTAAACTGCTGTAGCTTACATCCTTATAACCTGCCTGACAAATACATGCTTACATCAGAAAAAAAGTTACTTTTTTGGTTTTGCTCAAATCCCTTCCATAGCTGAATAAACTAACCAAAAGAAACATTCTGGAAGATGGTAAAATGTTCCCCCCTCAAGGATTTATAATGAAAAACATTTACGGCCTCATTTTTCCACAATATATCTTTCTCTTGTATGCAAGCCTAACGATGAATAAAAACCTTCACTCAAAAAATATAAAAGCCTAAAATTTGTGTGTCAACATTCTGCATACTGGCCATGTAATAAAAAATGGACTCTCCAAATAAAAACCAGTCATGTAAGCAACGCTACCTTTCCATCTAGATATGAAAATTCCCAGTAACTTTTAGCTTGTCCTAATCTATCAATACACTTAATAAGGCCACTCAGATGATTGGGACAAGCAAGGTACAACCAGACACACCAGTCCTGAGAGGTGTACTGGGTGCCCATGAGCAGCACCGCTCGCATCCAGCCCTAGGGCTGAGACCTCATTCACAGACACGGAGAGGAAGGGAAGGGAATGGAATGAACGCTCCTAATGGCGCATCGTGTTGCATGCTAACTGAAAGAGTAGGAGATTACTTTTGCTTAATAAACCTTCCCCAAATCCCAGCTTTTCCAGTTACTAGTAAAAATTATTACAACGTACCTTTATTGATGGCATCTTTATCAAAAAATTTATCATCTTTGATGCGAAAACTGCAGTCATCTCCTCCCCAAAATCGGTCACAGACACATTTTATTTCATTGCTACAAACCTGCAGCCAAAAGTGTAGCTCAGAATAAAATCATAAAATTAATCTTTTCCCATAATTAATACCTACAGTAGAGGTACAGCCATATAGCACTGATTTTGACTGCCTACAAAATTTTGCAAAACTTTTTTAATATACAGCAATTTTAAACTTATGTTAGATAGAAATGCATTGTTATACTTT